ATGCGCCAGCGAGGAAAGCACATTGCTGAGCTCCACAAGCGTGACCTGCCTGCGCCTTGAAGACAAACTGTACACCCACCCCCGAGGACGTTCCTTTCCAAGTATGAGGTGGAAGGGTCCACAGCTGCGATAGCCTGCCACTTTCTGCGCTCAAAAGGCAAACAGGGTAGTGATACCCTGTAGCTGTCTCCATACTCCGCTCCCGCTACCCTCAGTGTGCAGAACTTGCATCGTTATCGAATTCCCGCGGGGAAAACCCAGACAGAGGTTGAGGACAACTGCAGGTGAGGTCTGACAAGAAGCGCCTTTACGGTGGCGTGCGGTGTTAGTGCGACCACCCCCCCCCCGAGAGATATAGTTAGGCGTGTGGCTGGGCGGTAGCCAGGGTATAGCATCGTGATGTGTGAAATGGTGGTGTAAGTACGACCGCTCGAGGGAGAGGGTGTCAATACGACCCCCCCCCCCACCCGAATGAAGCTCTCGGTACGCCCCCCCCCCTTTTCACGTATCAGGTACCTACCAATTTCCCACATCTTCCAGTTTTTCCAAAGATTTTCCGTCTAGCGGAGGGGGCGAAAGGCGGTTCATACTACACGTGAAACACGGAAAAATCACGAAAAGTCAACAACAGGGAAAGATCCTTTTCCCAACACGGCAAATTTCTCTCAAAGGAGTATACGACCCCCGTCTCTCCCAACAACGACCCCCCCCCCTTTCCCAACAACGACCAGATACGACCGCCCTCCCCAGCCGAAAAGTACGACCCCCTGTGTGTTTCACACGATGCTGTGCCCTGGCGGTAGCTACTATCAGCCCACTTCAGCCCCATTCCAGTGCACCTTTGAGCGGAGAAAGCTGTACGCTGTTGCAGCTGCGGACCCGTCACCTCGCACATGGCAAGGATCAAGACGAGCGTACATGTCTTTGGTGGCAATAGACAGTTTTCCATACATCCACCAAAGCTCGCCCCTAACTCATGGAAACAAAAGAAAGTTTTTTTTCTCACGTATTTCATTACTCGCAATTGTGCAGAGTGCTTCGAATGTATGAAATCTATCGGAAATTGACAGAAAAAATCTTTATAAAGAAGGAAGTCAAAATATAATAAGCCGTGAAAAGGTTGGGAAAGCCCATTTCGTAACTGTTAACAAATTTTTCCCAACTTTTGAATCATAATCCATAAATTTTTTAGAGCCTGCGATTTGTTGGTGAACAGAGTTCAAATGCTATTGCATTGTGCTAGTAACTCAACAGTGAGGAAAAACTTAGGAGAGAAAAACATCGAAAACGCCCTATATAAGACATTTGCTGGTTCGTAGTATTGTAAGAGCGCATGAACAGACATGAATGAATGAAGAAGTAGTCATGAGAGGAAGCATTCACGATTGAAATCCATCGCTCTGTAGTGATGGCGGAACGTAATCATAAAAGTGGAGAGCAAGGGGTTCACTCAGTGTCAGATCCCTGGCATTCTTACCAAGAATGTTCAGGTGGTCAAGGCGGGACATTCTCTGCGATTCCTGTCCGCGCCACCTTTGTAATCTTCTGCACTTTGGGTAGTCGCGAGTTTGAGCTGTTTCAGTGAGAACAGTGTAGTCTTGTGGCCCTACTTCACTTAATTACAAAGCCCTACTCCAAAGTCCCTCCCAAAATAGCGGATAAAGGGCAAAGGGTAAAGTCGTATCCATTGATCAATTAATTTTCGGATGTGGCACACATTCTATTCCGATTGAAATCGTAGTGCCTAACTGACAGCGGTGTAGCCTGTACAATGACCAGCGTGGGTTAGCCGATGTTGAAGTGTTCTTGCCCTCCCACACGAACACAAGTTTACCTTCCTCGGGGAGTAGAAGGCTTGGTTGGCCTAGGCGGGATTCGAACCCAGAACCGCACTAGTGATAATCGCACCGCCTGGCACTAGACCACCTGCTCCTCCCAAAATATTCCCTTGAAAACATCAAGACACCTGACTAAACGGTACAAATAAAAATCTTTTTGCAGTCAACAATGTTGTAATAAAAACCGAGCGTTCGGATTCTGAACCGGAAGCAGATGCGCGTGTTATCAAGGAGGAGCCGAGAGAAGACGATTGGATTGAGAGTGCTCCAAAGCGCAGAATAAAAGGAAAGCTAGCACGTGCCGCAAACAATAGGAGAGCAGGCGCTCATGCCAGGTAGGTTTCGTGCATTGATGGGATCACAAGGGGGCTGCAATGACTGTTGATCTTATTTTGGCTATATTGTTTCAAGAGGATACACTCTATACACTGCGCAAATGCCCCTGTAATTATCTGATTCTACTGCATGTACGTTTCTAGGTTGGTAACTGAAAAGTACATTTTATTCCAGTCTGGTTTTAAATGCCGTGTTTCTAGCAAGCGCCGAGCTGAAAAACCAGATGACCGGAGGATCCGCGAAAAGGGGTAGACATAAATATTTTGCCAGCTTTCCACCTAAGTAGTACAATTAACGGATCGATTCGTACCTTTTTCGCTGATTGTCCGATTTGCCAGTTCCCCGATTCTCCATGAACGTCCAAGTGGCGGAATCAAATAATCAATTCCTATGAAATTATTTTCGCGGATTTTCCCAGTTCTTCGGTCCTTCACTTTTCCTTTCACTGCTCTCTAGTTCTTCAGCTATCTTAGAAACCCCAGTGGGTGGAGTGAAGTAACTATTTTTTCCAAATATTTTCAAGAACTCCTCGTTCTTCAATGGTGTTGTTGTGTGTGGACATAGCCTGAGGGGAAAGAAAAGAGGGCTTGTATGAGGGAGTGGTCAGAACAGACTCAAAAAGTACTTCTGAAAAATTATCTATGTATTGAAACTCGGGGATTTTCACGTACGTGGGCTTCGCCAAAAAGCTGAATGGGTACGGCTAGGTGGCCCCCCACCACCCCTCCAATGTGTTCTTCTCAAAGAAGCAGAAGTAGCTGATCAGGGTTAAAGTTAGTGCTAAAATTTCTGAGACGTCAAAATTAGAATAATTGTTATAGATCAATCAAATCAGAAGGAGGAGACCAAGCAGTTGTAAAACAGGTACATCTCGAAGGTTTTATTTTTTGTCAAAATTCTACTTAGCAATTACGTTCTTTTGTGGACGTTCTAACATTATAAAAGTGCTGTCCCTCCAGTGCAAATTTCACCGTCATTTGTCAGTGAAGGTAATACTCACTCTATTCTAAACTGGTATCTTTTCCCTAGCGTGATAACGAGCTCCCCTGCCTGCGTATGTTCATGCCAGTGACCTTCCACTGCTCGCGAACGCGCGCTCGAAGTGACTTAGAAAGCTCCCGCTTCAGACAACTGCTCCGCTTCTGATTGACCACCGCAGTCCACTTATCTCTATCAGTCTCCACCCAAGCGCTTGTATCATAAAGGCAGGGCCGGCGTCAATATTGGCTCGTAATCGAAGCTGACATGGTGGCAGCCACTCTCCTTACCCCGCAATGGAGGGGGCGTGGCTGCTTACTTCCTTTGGATACGCGTGAGATGCGTTTCTCGTGGAATATTTCCGTTCGAGAGAACGGTCATCTGGTCTTAAGTTGCACAAAGCCGTTGATCACAATTGCTTGAAACCTGTAGCAATATTTCGCCAAAAGTGCGGTCGCTGCTACGTTTCGAATGGAGTACGCGGCCACGCCCTCCACAGCTCCGTAACGTGGGTTGCGGCCCTTCAGCGCTCGAAAAGCATGCCGAATAAGTGCTCAATTTCCGTGGCTTTTCACCATTTCTTTTATTTTTTTTTGCTTCAGTTGGTGTCATTTGACACCTCTAGACTCGTTCTGGAGGGGTGACCATAATGATGTACCCCACTGCCTTCAAATAGTGATGCTTTTGTGGAATGTAAATTAAATGTAATAAAGCATCAATATCATACAGTAGTATTGAATTATACAGTTCTTGTATCAGGAATCTGAGTCAACCAGCACAGGCTTCGAGCAGCTCAAGGACTTTACTTCCGAAGGTAATGAATAATCAGTTTAGGGGCGATTGAATGAGATGGAAAGGGGTAATTCTTTTAGACGTAGGTTACGATGAAGCAAACGATTTTTCGAACGCAATTTTACAGCTGGACATCAATATAACAGGTGGTTCTTTTTCTTATTTTCCAAATGAATGAATGAAAACTCTTCAGAGAAGGAACTTCTAATCGTGTAAATACACCTGGGATAGTGAAATACATTCGGTACAGGGTACAGCATCGTGATGTATGAAATGGTGGTGCCAGTACGACCTCCTCCCTCTCTCGAGGGAGGGTCTTGATACAACCTCCACATGGATCAGGGTGTCGGTGCTACCCCCCCCCCTTTCCCCAGCACCTACCTACCAATTCCTTTTCACCCACAGATTTTCCGTCGAGCGAGGGGAGGGGAGTAAATAGTATACACGAAACAAGAAAAATCACACAAAAATTTCCCCCTAACGCAGCACATTTTTGTCAAAGCCACATGCGACCCCTCTCTCCCAACAACGACCAAATACTCCCCCTCCGCCAGCCGAAAAGTACGACCCTCCCCCCTCTCTGTTCCACACGACGATATTGTACCCTGATTTGGTGTCGTCCCGGTCAGGCGGAGCGCTGTCAAGGGGCGTGGTGTGAGCCCATCCACCGCTGTGTTTTGCTCCTATAGTGGCTGGTTCAGATAGAAAACAGCCAATCTTACACATGCTGCAGGCGGGCCTGTCCCACGCCTCCTGACATCAACTGCAATTGCAGCAGTCATAATGGTGAGTTTCAGCGATTATCAGTCCCAGCCAGTTGTACCAAGATTGGATGCGGATTTCGAAGGTTAGTGTTCAGTTTTCAAAATATCCGTGCAGTGTCCAATGTAGCAAAATGATGGAAATGGCCCTTGTTCGAGTAAAAATTTCAGTTGAAATGAGAAGAGTCGAGGCAACGCTATATTCGTATGAAAAGAAGATATCAAAATTGGAACAGCTCTAAGCAGAAAAGGCGTGAAGTTACAGAAACAGCTGTTCTCCTTGACAGTTCGTACCATTCCGATTTGATCCCCACATCACTAAAGTAAAATCATGAGAAGTTCCATATTTATTAGTTGGCAACTCAGTATTGCATCTTTTCTGAAGGATTCCTCTTCTTCTTTCCTCTTATTCAGTTGGATATTACCAGTATTATCAGGCTTTCGAGGAAATGGGATTCTTTCATAGGGTCGGCCCAAATGATGCAGAAAAAACAGTGAGGGACAAAAAGTTGAGTCAAAGGAGGTCAAGTTGGGGCAGGCAGCTCGGTGACGGAGGGATGCTCTTGCACTTTTGTTACTTCCCATACAGAGCTATATCATGAGCTTGCGAGAGTTCATAGGTTTTACCGTGGTGGCTCGACGAGGTTTACAGGAGTTTATAGTTCTCACCAGAGTGAGACTTGTAAACCGGTACTAGTGAAGTAGCAAAAGTGAAAATGCCCTCCCCCCGCCAAACTATCATCCTGACGACCACTCCCAACAAGGTGATCTTGCGATGCAGTCTGTTCCAGAACAGTCCTTAACGGGCCAATTTTCTCATAAACTGTAACACTTGAATTCAAAAAGCTAGTTAGGAAAACTTCCGTCGGGCGCGACGTCGCAGCGACGCCCAGCGTGGCGAATTACAACTGTGTTGTCAAATACCCCAACTTAAAGTCCTAAGAAATGAACGCTATCGTTACTAAACTCTAACCATAAGGGAGCATGCAATAGAGCACTCCACTTTATTTCATGATCCAGATTTCATTCAAAATTCCTTCAAGACTTCGAGTGGATGCAGAATGTGTGGCGCACCCCAAAATCCGTTCATCAACGCCGAAAGGCCCTGAGTTTTTGTACAGAAAATTCAACAACTTTTTTAAAAATATGGAAACCAGTTAACAAAGAGGTGCAGAACTCAGTTGCCATCCTAGTAGACATGTTTAGATGCTTATAATTTTGTACTCTCACAATATCCATTCATTTAGCATCATCAGGCACTATTCCTCGTTCTCGTAGCACTGTTTAAGGGCAGTTGGCTCGATAATTTGGTAATCGGCCCAAAAAAGGCGAAGAAAAAAAAAAGAGGTGAAATGGTGAAGAACTTGCGAAGAAAAGCCTTCGTTTTCAATGACTCAAAAAGCAATTTCGGACGAGTTTCCTATAAGCATCTTGCCAATAACCGCTACGGTATACGGTTGCGCGTATGTACTCATATATCCATGTAGCACCGCAGCTGCTTCATACCGACCCCTTTGGTTCATATTCTACCTAGTAAATGAAGCAGCACCAGCATCAGGTACGGTCGTCCATTTGTGGGCGGGCGGGTGCGGAGGGCGTTTGGGTCGGTATGTTGTAGCTTGATAGGGCCTTATGAGGGCACCTTCTTTGGAAAAGCGCTACGCAGCGCCTGCCTAGGGCCGGGGACATCCGTCCTGCCAGGCGTGTTAATCCTACTCGTCTTAGGAGTTTATCGTGCCAACTGCCTTTACATGCAGATTACACGCAGATCGTATGGGCGAGGACAACTGCGCCCTCTTCCTTGGTTTTGACTGTGCGATAGGCGATAGAGCGCACGGTCAAAAATCGTTGCAATCCAGGCGAAGGGGGAATGGGGGGGGTGCCGGCAGGCCGTGAGATGAATCATGCCGCCGACGCTGCTGCGTTTACTACCAATTAGCGGCCCCGTTTCAGGAAAAACAAGCAAGTGTAGGAGACGCCTCGCAGGGCATCACTTCTCCTAGCACAACTACCGTCGCATTGCGACGAACACCAGCGGTCTGAGTGGGAGGCTCACTGCTATAACTGGCCCCGCATACAATGACTGGAATGTGCCTTCACACCCACTTCGATCTACCATTTTTCATATATTGAACTTTTACAGTGGACCTTACTCATATTAAAGGAAACATTTTCACAACTTTATTTCGTATATGGCTCTGTTCTCGAAATGTCAGATCCTTCACAATAATAAAAGCATATACACATTCGCGTTACTAATACATGCATGGTAAGCTCTTACAGTATTAAAATGACATACAGTACAAAAATGACAAAAGTGACTATTATGCAAAGTATCATTGGAAGTGTTTTCTACACCGGCTCGGAACAACCATAGGTCCCGCCGACATAACAGAAAAAGCTGGCGCAGAGTCCACGCTGGGTGAGGGCACTAAATGGTGCTTAGAGGGAAAACTGTACAGGTTATCTGTGAGAAACTGTAAGTTTTGTAACGCAAAAAGTGGCTCCACTTGCATTTTAAATCCGTGGCTTTACAGAACTTTACAGGCCCATAAGTGAGAGACGTGGAAGTAGCAAAGGGAACTGGCAAAAGTGCAAAATGCCCCTCACAAGCCGAACGGCGCCGAAAAATCTTCATGCAGCTACATCACTGTAAAGCTTGGCTCTAAAATGCGCTCTAAGCTCTAAGCTACTTTGCTGCTGCTGCTGCTCCTGCTAATATTAGAGTGGGTTATACTGCAAAAATTGTTTCAAATTGCGAAATATGTACAGCGCTTCTACTTGGCGAAAAGGCGCCACTGGATGGCGGTCAGGAATTCTGAACTGCGATAGCATTGTGTGCACGGCATTCCCCTAGTCGCTGCAAATCAGATCTGACCTACAGTATATACCTCGGAGATGGAGAGGGCGTGGCTGCTTTCTTCATTTGAACATGGCCTACGGACTAGTTATTATATTTATTTTCTCGTTTTAGACTATACATCCACAAAGAAATCATGGTAGTTTGTAGCCAGAAGGGATAAAACATTCCTCCGAAAGCGGAGACGCCAGAAGGGATAACATTCTCCGAAAGCGCAGACGCCACCGCGTTCAAATTAAGTATGCGGCCACGCCCTCTCAATCTTCGGATGTGTATTGTCTCTGCTGCATGAAAATATAATTTTGTACAAAAAACCGCACAAAACACTGCACGTCTTAGAATAAACTCCAGAGTTTCTTCCACAGTGAGTCAACTAACAAGGGAATCCTAGCTAGTTGGTGTGCGTCATCATTGCGTGGATCTCCTGACCAACAACCAGAGTGTGACAATGCTCGTTAAGGGATCCAAGACGAGATGGGACGGAAGTTATACGATTTGAATACCAGCGCTTGTCAGACCCTTCATTGGGTTTCTAGAGCAAAGAAAACTCACTGCACTAGTTTAGCGCGCTATGAGGTCGTGGAAGACGTTAGGGACCGCTCATAAAGAAAAACTCTATGAATGCAGTGGTCCTTCCACATTGCCCTATGAAAGAATGCGTGAAGCCAGTTTTCTTAGGGAAAATAATGATCCAATCGTTGCTGTTATCCCAGTTGGGGCCCTTCAAATTCGTCTGGTCGTCTGTTCCAGCTCATGATACTACTGATAAAAATCTGAGTAATACTTATACAATTATTAATGGTGGAAATAAAGCAAGAAGCGCATTAGAATCCACAAAACGCCATTACACAGTAAGGCTTGTAAAAAGAAATTGTTCAGACCGAACATGGTACCCAGTAGTGGCCCTGCATTTCTCTACGGAAGGTTGTCCGCGCCTTTGTGGCAGTTGTTCCTGCGGGCGGTGGCGCTGAGCAATCATTACCCTTGGCGTTGACACACATGTACAACACCATCGCGAGCAGTAAAGTGTGGACGATTGCAAAAGGACGTCAAAGCCGCCTATAGAAAGACCACTACAGCTAGCTATGGCTAAATCAATCAACTGGTCATTTGTAATAGCTCGAACTCATCATCGAACGAATCAGGACGACCATTGCGACGACGTCGGGGCGGCGCCGGTATCAGTTCGGCCTCTGTGGGCACCTCAGGCGCTGCACCGTTGTTTGTCGGTCCTTCTCCTTTCTGACGCTTCCTCCTCGTAGGTGCAGGCTTTCTCAGCTTCAAGTCAAACTCCTCATCACTGGATTCGGAAGCGTGAATACGTTGGGGAATGCCTAAGAACCGTTAGTGAAATCGCGTTCCTCTTCTGAAATATCAAACAATCATTCCACAGGAATCAGGGCACTCGTTGTTGGGAAATCCCCAACAGGGAGGGGCGGGGACGTATTTGGCCGCTATGAGAAGGGAGATCGTATTTGGGCTGGGAAAAATTTGTTCATAGTTGGTTTTTCTCGCTTCGCGGCTGGACGTTATTAAAAAAAGGGAAAGGGGGGGGTCGTACTTGGCCACTATTGGAGGGGGGGGGGCATTATTTACGTTTTTGGGCATTGTAAGAGGCGTTGGTTTGTTTTCGTGAATTTTCCTGTGTCATGGCGGTACTATATTACCACCCATCACCCCCTCCTTCCGCTCCCCGCCGCCCCTCTGCCTCCGCTCGACAGCCCAAATTTTTGGGTGAAAAGAAAAGTAGCAGGAAGTTGGGGAAAATCCTGGAAACTTGGGTAAAGAAGGGGGGATCGTATTGTCTCGCAGGCTTTTCCTGTTTCACTGTGCATATTTCACCCCACCCATATCCCCCAGCCAGATGAATGTGCCCTGATGGGAATTTCATAGAGCTTCAGAAAAAAAGCTACTGACCCTCAAGAGGAGATGGTGGCTCAATGTCGCCGAGCGAATCTTCGCCTTCAGTCTCGCCTGCCACGGCCATCTCCTCAATCTCATCGGTGATCTCGTCCGGTAGCATACCTTCCAGCTCAACGTCGCTGTCATCTAGGACAATAAACCAACATTTTTTTGAAGCAAGAAGAAAAAATAAATAGCCAGTGTCAGAGGGTTGAAAAAGTAGTCAGTTTTCCGTTTCGCAAAATTCTACGAAAACGGAAACAAAATTTCTAGGAACAGTAATAACCTTGTAACGAGTAATAACGCTTCCAGAAAATAAAAATTTAACCGCCTCTACGGGAATTACTTGAAACTTGTCGAGTTCATCTTCTTCGTCCTACCCCTTTATCTGTAGCTATAATTCCTGCAAAGGATAGGGCGTGTGGAGGGAGTGAACTGGAGAGCAGCCAGAACAGCCCCTGCCGCCAGTGGTTGCGGACTAAGGACGACTTCACTGGTGGCGAATTACGCTTTGGCACCGCTTCAATCCACGCCCTGTCATACTCCTGACTGAGGCAGCTTTCAGACGCGATGACGCCTGCGATGCGCTCCAATAGAACGCCAACGTTAATCGATCAGTGCCAGCCGCTTGTTTAAAGAGAGTATGAGGGAATAGGAGTGTACGCGTTGCCTAACTAAACAGTCTGGTATCCATCGGCACTGATGCTAAGGCTCTGGGAGATCACAGAAAAAAGAGAGTGCCTGATGGCAGTGATACTTACACTCGTGATACTCTCCTATACTCCCTCAAAACACAAACGGCCGGTGCTAATCAAATACCGTCTGCGGCTGCTTCGCGTCTATAAGACTGGAGGGTTGTTGCAATCATAGCGCGCGACTGGTAGAAAGCAAGAGCGCGCGTAACAACGCAACGCGTTGCAGTGCGTCAACGCAAAGTCCGCTTGCAAAAAAATCAAGTCTTTTCGAAAAAACCAAGCCAAAGGAACATGCAGAGGTCCACACCTTATTTAAAGCTGAGGCACACATAAGCCAGGAGGTACGAAATCTCGCAAAAACGTCGTCACGTACGCGACCTTCGCACCAGGACCTAACTGAGTCGTCGCGGTGTACTGTTAGCGGATTCAACTAGCTCGGGAACTAGTACCCATGCGGATAGCTAACAGATATGGTAGCAATGCAAGCTGAAAACCAAGAAAACACTTACCACAGAACGGACTCTTCTCCGGTATGTTCTTCACAATCGTATCGCATACAGGACCGAGAAAATAGATGAGAATCGCCGTTTCGATGATCTTATACCGTTGATAGAGATAGTCCACTACCGGCTAAACTATTTAGTAGTCAATTAAAGAGTTCATAAAATCTCCGGTAAGCAATTCCAGAATAAGGCCTACAAAATCAATGCAATCGATAAACAACGAACCTCCAACAAATTGTTCATGTCCGAAGGAACGGTTTCAGATGCAAAAAGAATGCATAAACATGGTTTATGTATGCTTCGTGCATCTTAGAATTCCCTTATATTGAGCGATTTCCCTCTTCCCATAGAAAACGGTACAAAAATGCTTGAAATCAATGAAAAAAAGGAAATACCTTGAACAAAACACGATACATCAACAGGCTCAATTCACGCCCAGCATCAACGACCAGCACACAAATCGGCCAGAGCACCGAGTCACTGAAGGATCAATAGTGACTACGTGAAACGTCCACAATCAATAAATCAATACTTGCAGACTACAGATCGATAGAGGGTTTGAATAATTGTTGTTATATTTACTGAGTAGCATTTGGCACCAGTCCCTCCGCCTCTACTCAAAGTTACAATAGTTGCTAAACTCATACTCCATATCCCAGAGATGGAGAGGGTGTGGCCGCGCACTTCACCTGAACGGTGTCACGATGACTGCGCCAGAGGCGAAACATAGCCTTTTCGGAATATTTGTGACCATATCGGTGCTCAGCACAAGAAAGGATGTCAGCAGCTTCAAATGGAAATATCCTGCGAAAAACGCATCCTAAACATTGTTCACATGATGCACGCGGCCACGCCCCCTCCATTTTCGTGATATAATGTATAAAGCTACCGTACCACGAGCACATTCTACAAATACATACATATCTG